ACCCTCAAGAAAGTAGGAATAGAAGGATCATACCTCGAGATCATAAAAGCCATATACAAAAGACCCAATGCTAATATTCTCCTCAATGGGGGAAACACTGAGAGCTTTCTACCTAAGGTCAGGAACAAGACAGGGATGTCCACTCTAGCCACTGTTATTCAACATAGTATTAGAAGTCTTAGCCTCAGCAATCAGACAACACAAAGAAATAAAAGGCATCCAAATTGGCCAGGAAGAGGTCAAACTTTCACTCTTTGCAGAAGGCATGAAACTCTATATGGAAAACCCAAAAGATTCCACCAAAAAACTGCCAAAACTGATCCATGAATTCAGCAAAGTGGCAGGATATAAAATAAATGCACAGAAATCGGTTGCATTCCTATATGCCAACAATGAAGCAACAGAAAGAGAAATCAAGGAATCGATCCCATTTACAATTGCACCAAAAACCATAAAATACCTAGGAATAAATCTAACCAAAGAGGTGACAAATCTATACACTGAAAACTATGGAAAGCTTATGAAAGAAATTGAAGATGACACACAAAGAATGAAAAATATTCCATGCTCCTGGATAGGAAGAACAAATATTGCTAAAATGTCAATACTACCCAAAGCAATCTATATATTCAATGCAATCCCTATCAAAATAACACCAGCATTCTTCACAGAGCTACAATAAACAATCCTACAATGTGTATGGAACCAGAAAAGACCCCGAATAGCCAAAGCAATCTTGAAAAAGAAAACCAAAGCAGGAGGCATCACAATCCCCGATTTCAAGCTGTATTACAAAGATGTAATCATCAACACAGTGTAGTACTGGCACAAGAACAGACACTCAGATCAATGGAACAGAATAGAGAACCCAGAAATGGACCCACAAACATATGGCCAACTAACCTTTGACAAAGCAGGAAAGAATATCCAATGGAGTAAAGACAGTCTTCTCAGCAAGTGGTACTGGGAAAATTGGACAGCGACACGCAGAAGAATGAGCCCGGACCACTTTCTCACACCATACGCAAAAAAACACTCAAAATGGATGAAAGACCTAAATGTAAGATAGGAAGCCATCAAAATCCTCAAGGACAAAGCAGGCAAAAACCTCTTTGACCTTGGCCGCAGCAACTTCTTACTCAACATGTCTCCAGAGGCAAGGGAAACAAAAACAAAAATGAACTATTGGGACCCCATCAAAAAAAAAAAAACAAAAAACAAAACAACAACAAAAAAAAACAACAACTTCCGCATAGCGAAGGAAACAATCAGCAAAACTAAAAGGCAACTGACAGAATGGGAGAAGATATTTGCAAATGACATATCAGATAAAGGGATAGTATCCAAAAATCTATAAAGAACAACTCAAACTCAACACCCCCAAAACAAATAATCCATTGAAGAAATGGGCAAAGACATGAATAGGCACTTCTCCAAGGAAGACATCCAGATGGCCAACTGACACATGAAAAAATGCTCAACATCACTCATCATCAGGGAAATACAAATCAAAACCACAATGAGATATCCCCACGCCCCTGTCAGAATGGCTAACATTAACAACTCAGGCAACAACAGATGTTGGCGAAGATGTGAAGAAAGAGGAACTCTTTGTACTGCTGGTGGGAATGCAAACTGGTGCAGCCACTCTGGAAAACAGTACGGAGGTTCCTCAAAAAATTCAAAAGAGGACTACCCTACAACCCAGCAAGTGTACTACTAGGTATTTATCCAAGGGATACAGGTATGCTGTTTCAAAGGGGCATGTGCACCCCAATGTTTATAGCAGCCCTATTAACAACAGCCAAAGTATGGGAAAAGCCCAAATTCCATTGATGGATGAATGGATAAAGAAGATGTGGTATGTATGTGTGCGTGTGTGTATATATATATGTGTGTGTGTACATATACACACATATACACACATATATATGTACACACACACATACATACTCATACACACATGTGTATATATATATACACATACATACATACATAAACACACATACACAATGGAATATTTTTTGGCAATCAAAAAGAATGATATCATGCCATTTGCAACTACATGGGTGGAACTAGAGAGTATTATGCTAAGGGAAATTAGAGAAAGACAAATATCATAGGACTTCACTCATATGAGGACTTTAAGACACAAAACAGATGAACATAAGGGAAGGGAAGCAAAAATAACATAAAAAAAGGGAGGGGGACAAAAACATAAACTCTTAAGTGTGGAGAACAAACAGGGTTACTGGAGGAATTGTGGGAGGGGTGATGTGCTAAATGGGTAAGGGGCATTAAGGAATCTACTCCTGAAATCATTGTTGCACGTTATGGTAACTAACTTTTGATGTAAATTTAAAAAACAAATTAAGTAAAAATTAAAAAAAAAACAGTAACCCAGTAAATAAAAGATTTCCCCACAGAATATTGTTGAAAACTCCAAGTCAGTCATGAGTCCCCACTAAGTTTTGTAACTAAGTGGCTTTCTTAATTCCCCTAGTTTCTCATAAATATGGACCATATGCTCTGACACAAATCTGCTCTTGCCCTGCCTCAAGGTTAGCAAAAAGAAAATATTCTCCTATTACTTGGCTTGTTAAAAAGAAAAGAAAGAGGGAAAAATTCATTTGAGATAAACCAACTATTTCTCATGATGGAAAATCTGCATGATTACTTTGGACATAATGTATTGCATTTATTTCTGGCTGACTTTGCGTAAGTTAGTGATGCTTTTTAAATGACCAAATATTGCACATTTCACACACATACACACACACACACATGAACAGCATGAAAGAAAAATGAATAGGATATAACATAAATTCAGTAAGAACATAAAAGATTAGTTTTCCTATAAAATGTAAAATAACTGCTTTGGGAACAGTTTTCCATTTTATAACTTCACAAGCAAATTTATGTTTGCTTCTAATTTATTAACCATTTTTAGAAATACTATTTTCAATGATAACCCTAAATACAAATGTGATTATGGTTCAGAAAGAGGGAAACATTTTTTTCTCTTTAGTAAATTAGTCATGTTGAAAACTGAAAGGATATCAGTTTTGCAAAAGACAATTCCAACAGACAACATTGTCTATATCCAAACCATCATTTCAGTAAAAGTACAGTCAGTGAGGCTGTATCCTTGACTCAAAATCATGTACCATTTGTGTTGGGAACCCCAGAAACTCTCCTCCAACATGATGATTGTCATCCAGGAGCTCTCTCTCTCTCCCTCTCTCTCTCTCTCTATATATATATTTTTTACTGAAGAAATGGAATGTTCAAACTATCTTTATCATGACTCCAGGATCTGGCTTTTTAAGTCCAGCTCAGTTGTAAAATGGTCGTAACTCATTTGCCTCGGGTTAGTTATCTTAATTCTGAATACCCAAATAAAAGGGACCTCAAATTAATTCTTTGATCATTAAAGAAAACAGGTCTACAACAATGATACATACCAAACCTTACTAGCTAAGATAGTATGCCTATCTCTTCCACGTTACTAAAAGATTGATGCTTTCTTTCAGCTTAATGGTCAACCTGATATATGATGGGTGCCTCAGGAAACAATAGTAATTTATGCTTGGAGATTCAGGCTATTTCTTTGTTTTAATCAGTAGTCATTATAAGTATGTTACTGTCTACAGATTTATTCTAGACCTATTTCCTATGTTTTAGTTCATATTTGAGAGAGAGAGACACGGAGCACGAGCAGGGGAGGGGCAGAGAGAGGGAGACACAGAATCTGAAGCAGGCTCCAGGCTCCCAGCTGTCAGCACAGAGCCTGACATGGGGCTCGAAGTCACGAGCAGTGAGATCATGACCTGAGCTGAAGTCAGACGCTTAATCAACTGAGTCACCCAGATGCCCCTAGACCTATTTTAAATTCGCAAATTAATATCAGACTCCAAAAGTACTGATTATTTTCTAAGCCTTTAGCCCATTCACAAGGTGCATTTACTTTGAACAAAATGTATTTCTATAAAATGCTCTAGTCTCCTATTTTTAGGAGCTACACAGACATAGAAGCAGAGAACCAACAGCTTCTTCATACACAACTTAAGAGCCATCTCTACACCCCTGATGCCAATTGAAAACAACCTTTACATGGCCACTTGATCAACATCCATAAGCTCAGGGCAATGGTTTGAAAATGCCAAATGAAACCAGAGCTCAACAGGTATAAGAAGTCACACCATGACCTATAGTATTTCCATCTACATGTCCAAATGACAACTATTAACAGCTGCTTTCCTGTCAATTTCATGATTGCACAACTTGTATGAATGCAAATATAACATACTTTTTAATGCAAAGCTCACTCTAAAATATAAAATCTATGGAGAAAAACCCAAAGTTCTATTTTAAACAATCAGCTGCACCCAAAGAGAGAACGATACTTTCCTAACTATAAATAACTGACTTTCAAAGTCTACGATGGTTTTTCACCAAAAGAGCTCAGGAATGTTATCAAGAACACATGGTAAACTCTTGCAACAAAGGCAATGACCTTTTCCTGTATATTTTAGGATAAAATAACAGCTATTGCCTTGACATTATGAATTCATTGTATAGTTCCGACCTCTTAAAAAGGAAACAAACTCTCTTGGTATTCTTAGTGGCTAAATTTTGCCAAGGGAAAAATACATTTAGATAATCATTGAGGATAACAGAAATTGCAGCAGAAGAAAAAAAAAGGATATGAGATTCAAATTCAACCTGTAGGTATAATTACTCAGAGTCTAAACTTAATCCCATTTCCTGAGATGTGACACCAGCTTTACAAGTACCATTGCTTATATCAGGCTGAAGTATGGCTTTTCCCCATTCATCTTGGGGACAGTGTGGTAGATGAAAGAATGTGGGCTTTGGGGCCCATGAGAACGAAGTTATCAAAATGACAGCACTTACTAATACTGTGATTTCACAAACATGACCTACTCTCTTTTGAGCCTCAGATTGTAGATTTTCGAAATGAGAGTAATCATACTTACCTCACCTGGAGGTTATGATGTGCATGCTAAGGATGTAATTCCAGTGCCAGCCAGGAACTTGGAGTACAGAGGTAGAAGGAAGATGCAAACCTATACAAATAAATAAACAGAGTTATAACCTGGGGTGAGGGAAAACTGGGATTAGCACTGGGTGAGCAAATAATGGCACAAGGGCATACAGAAAAAAAAACAAACAAACCCATGTGGGTAGTGACTAGGTACTACAGACACAAACCTGTCATGGAATGGATTTGCCCCCAAAATCCATTTGCTGAAGTCCTAACTACCCCATGTAACTGTACTTGGATACCAGATCTTGAAAGGTAAAGTGGAGGTTGAATGAGCTCACTTGGGGGGAGGGACCCTATCTGATAACTGGTGTCTTAGAAGAAGAGAGTGGGCACCTACACACACAGAAGGAAGACCACGTGAAGACGGTGGGAAGGAGGTCGTCCACCAGTCACGGAGAGAGGAGACCCACCCTAGCCACACCTTGATCTAAAGTGTGAGAAAATAAATAAATCAATTTCTGTTGCTTAAGCCACCCAGTCTGTGGTACTTTGTGATGGCAGACCCAGCAAACTGATATGAAATCCCAACACTTACTCATGCAGCGAATGGTGTTTGAGCTTTTGTAGGAGTTAGGCACTGTTCTAGGGCCCTAAGGAAACAGCCCTAAACAAAGCTAGTTTGGTCTTTGAACCCCATGGAGCCAACATTCTGGCAGGGACTGCAGCAGGCGACAGACAGCAAGCAAGTAAGAAAAACAGATGATGCCAAGGACCAGGAAGAAAAAGAAGGCAGGGAAGGCAGATCAGGTGTTTGGGTCGGAGAAGGAGCAGTTTTCAGTTTTACATAGAGAGCTAGCAGAGACCCCACTGAGCAGGTGACGTCAGAGCAAAGATATGACAGAAATGAGGGAGTGTGTCATGTGGATATGTGGGAGGACATTCCGGACAGAGAGAGACAAAGCAAGTGCAAAGACCTGAAGCAGGAGTGTGTGCCTGACATGCTCAGGGAGCAGGGAGGGGCCGGTGTGGCCAGTAAACGTGGGGAGGGGAAGAGGAGATGCCTTCAGGGAGGGGCCAGAGGCTGGGGAGAGTAGCACCTGTGTGGTGTGTAATTGGAGTCAGGCGTCTGGAGACAGGAAAAGCTGGGGGCAGAGCATAAAGATCTGGAGGCCCCAGCTGCTGGTAGATAGAAGCCTGAGGCTGGCTGAGATCACCCCAGAGTAAGGACGGGTGGAAAGCTGATGGGAAGTGGGAAGAAGATGAGGACAAACCAACACAGACACTGGTGAGCAGCGGCCTGGGCAGTGGGAGGAGGATGGAAGTAATTTTTACAGAAAGGGAGTAATCACGTGTACCTGTAAAATGGTGCCACGTAGTCTGCAAACTGGGGGTTGAGACTTCACTGTGAGCTTCAGCAATATGAGTGTCGTTCATTAATGAGATGAGAACTAGGGACAAGTGGGAGAGGAAGCCCACTCAGACTCAGCTGACAGAGGTAAGGTCTGCAGGCGCCGACAATTGCAACGCTAGGACTCAGGAAGACAAAACAGGTGGTGGTGAATGGGAAGTGATTGCTCCCCGTGGGCTGGGAGAAACAGCCGCAGGTGCACAGGATGGCCGGTCGGAGGAAACCCCAGGTGTGCAGGAGAGAGTGAAGCGGTGCAGGAGCCGCGTTAGCAAGATGGCTTCCTCCCTTAGGAACACTGCTCAACTGTGGCAACGGGGCACCAGCCAGAGCCGTGGGGACAGACATAGCAAGGTGGGTGGCCGTGAGGTTGCTGGGACTGTGTGTGACTGGGAAACACCGTGAAGATGCCCTATGTTCTCTCTGCCTCTAGAACGGGATCACGGGCAGGATTTCGAAAGTGATGCACATGAGAAACAGAGCCATCAAGCCCTCCACAGGGACCCCAGTTTTGTCCTCTTACAGCAGACATTCCCACCTCCTTCCTGCCCCCATCACCTCCGCGGTGTCTGGCAAGCCCTCATCTGCTCTCCATTTCTATGATTTTGTTGCCTCGAGAATATTTTACAAGTGGAATCGAAAAGCACGTGACCTTTTTAGGATTCGCTTTTTCCCCTCTGGGCATAATTCTCTGGAGATTCGGTCCTGCTGCAGTGCCTATCAGCAGTACGTGTCCTGGCACTGCTCACCGGTGAGCACTCCACTGCACGGGGCTAGCATGGTTTTGCTGCCTCCCTATGGAAGGACACATTGTACTAGGCTGCACAATGGCCCTCAAAGAAATCAAGTCCTAATACCTGGAATCTAACTCCCATCGATGGGATCTAGTTAAGGATCTTGAGGACTGGGTTGTCTGAGTGAGCCCTAGATGGAATCACGAGCATCCTTAGGCAAAGGGAGACTTGACAAAAGAAGAGGGACTGTGTCCATGGAGACAGACTGGGGTGATGTGGACACCAGCCAAGGGAGGTTGGTGGCTACTGGGAGCTACCAGAGAGAAGGGATACACTGTCCCCCGGAGCCCTGGGGTCTCCAGAGGAAGTACAGCCCTGCTGACACCTTAGTCTCAGTGAAGTGAATTTCGGGTTCCTGGCCTCCAGAACTGTGAGAGAACACTATTTTGTTCTCATAAGCCACCAAGTTTGTGGTATAAGAGCAAGCAGGTGTGCGCACAACAGGTCCCCATTCCCATCTCCCTCCGACCTTGGAATCTTCCTTCCCTGAGAAAGTCAGGGAAGCTCTGGCATTTCAACCTAGTTGACTACAGGCAGCCATTGAGTCATTATTATGACCATTCCCGGTTCTCAAGGCAACACATTAAATTACATTTCCTGTGGGAGGAACTGTGTATCTATGTCTGGCCTATCGTACATCACCCTCTTTGGTTTAATACTCTTTGAATCCACTCCCATACTCGCTCCCCAGTCTCCTACCAGCGCGAAGTGGTAACTCCCCTGCGTGGGCACCTGATCCCGTGTGGACCTGATTCTGTACCTCCGTTTGGAGTACACTGGCATCCGGTTATTTTTGGAAGTAAACACGAATACTAGACATGGAGACTGAAGATCACTGCTCTCTGTCACGACAGTATTGTCTTAGGTGAAGCCATCGAAACCTTTTCTCTAGGGGTCCTGGGGGTGGGGTAAGACTATTTCCCTTGGACAGGGGCGGGGGGAGCTACTTCTCTTGGCAACAAAACACAAGATACTCCCCTCATGAGGCCATACGTTTTCTGATGTTTCGCCCTTGCTTTCAACCTCTCCTATTTCCTGTGTATACCCCAGACACCCAAAACTGACCCTGGACAGTCTCTGTAACTGCCCCCCATGGCCACAGTGAGGACTCCACTTGCGACCCTTCAGCATGCTGTCCTCCATCACTCTGAACCAGCACTAGTGGTAATGTGAACAAATATGAAGTCACCTCCTGCCACCAATGACCAGTATCCACTTCTGCCAACAAGGAAGCTACTTGTATGTCCCCCAGAGAGAAGAGCAGTCCAGTCCCAGAGTCCCAGTTCCAGGCGGTTTTCTGTGGCCACTCGCAGTACAAATTACCATTTGTGCAGGACTGCAACAGGAGACAGACCGCACACCCAAAAGCAGTGAGTGAAGAGTGCTGCAAGGGTAAGGGAGCCTCCAACAGATGGCGGAGAGGGCAAAGCGGCCGTGCTTACCAAAGGCAAGATGTTTCCACTAAAAAGAAAGTGCAAGGAAAAGTGGTTCCTGATCCTGTGAGATTTATCAGGAGATGAGGGTCATGTGGGGAGATGTGATACAGAAGAACACGACTACAGAAGCCCCCCCGTTATCCATGGGGATATGTCTGGAGACCCCAGGTGGATCCCTGAAACCACAGACAGTACAAATACTATAGTGGCCATGAAGGGGTGCTGGTGGCACACCGCCACAACACCAATGAAGGGGGGCAAGCGGCACACCTGCAAATCTACGATGAAAGGTTGCAAGACGCCCATGCGTGTTTGCAGGCGGCACACCCCACAATGGCAATGAAAGGGTACAGGACGCCAATGCAAGGGTGCAGGTGGTTCACCCCTCCATGGCCTATGAAGGGGTGCTGGTGGCACACCCCTACATGGACCAAGAAGGGGTGCTGGTAGCACACCCCTACATGGAAAGGGTGCAGGCGGCTCACCCCTACCTGGCCCATGAAGAGGCGCGGGCAGCTCACTCCTACATGGCCCAGGAAAGGGTGCTGGCGGCACACCTGAAATGGCCCATGAAGGGGCACAGGTGACGCATCCATACATGGACCATGAAGAGGCGCAGGCGGCTCACCCCTCCATGGCCCAAGAAGGGGTGCAGGCATGATGCCCCTACATGGCTGAAGAAGGGGTCCAGGCATGACATATCTACATGGCTGAAAAGGGGCACAGAAGGGGTGCAAGTGTGACACCTCTCCATCGCAATGTAGGTGTATCAAGGCTGTCCTAGAAGGGTGAAAAATATGATTTGCGTTCTGTAGGCGGCTGTTAGGGATGCGGCCATGAGCATTCACAGTAGGGCTCAGGCATTGGTATATGATCTTAAGATCTGAATACCAAAAATAGACAACCAACTCCTATGTTATGACCGGGTGAATTTCACAATACAAGCAATAATGCTAGTATGTGTAACAAGTATTTGTCCTTGCATAAGCTTCTATCAGAGCAGATGACCACGGATAGTTAACAATAAGATAAAAATAACCTAACTGTAAAATCAGTATCAAACCAATTGTTGACCCAACACATATAGGCAATCAAGGAAAGATTAAAACTAAAAGGAACTCAGCAAACAGAAGCCCTGCCTGTTTACCAGTAACATCATGTCTAGCATTTCTAGTATTAGAGGCCCTGCCTGCCCAGGGACATTCGTGAAACGGCAGTGGTATCCTGATCATGCAAAGGTAGCATAATCACTTGTTCCCTAAATAGTGACTCATACGAATGGCCACACGAGGGTTTTACTGTCTCTTCCAATGGGTGAAATGGACCTTCCTGTGAAGATGCGGGAATAGGACAAGAAGACAAGAAGACCCTAAGGAGCTGGTTTAAAATGTTTTTAGCTTCATTTTTTTTTTTTTTTTTTTTGAGAGAGAGAGAGAGAAAGAAC